TTGCCCATCCCTGCTCTGCTCTCCGCTGCCCAGAACCCTGCTGATGCACAAGGACGCCACAGAGCTCCTGCCCATTTAACTTCTCCCCAGTCTGTTAAAAAATCCAAGTCACACCCTGATTGGGTCAACTTAGGTCACATGCCTATTTATGAACCAATCGCAGTGTCCAGAGCAATGTAATGCACTGATTGGCTGGGACCTGCACATGAGTCCCACCTGCATGCCCTTGGGTTGGGAAAAGGAAGGAGGGGCAGGACAAACAAATGCCCGCCCCCCCCCATGCCCCACTGGCTTCTTCCCTCTGCTAGGAAAGCTGGGAGAGATGTGTGGGCTTTTGGGGAGAGGGGGTGGGTATTTTTTCAAGGGATCCTTAAAAGGGGTGCTCACAAGGGGCGTGTGGGAACGAGTAGAGATTGGCCTGGCTCACCTGGGACTAATAGTTCCCAGCCCCGTGGGCCAGAGTCTCCCCAATTTCTTCTCATCCAGAGACCAGCTCTCTCAGGTCTGAGGGTGCCCCTCTGAACTTGCTGTCAGGGCGTCTTGGAAGACGCTTTCTCCTGGAGGTGCCCATGGCTGACAGGCTGCTCCGCAGCCCAGGTGCAGAGAAGCCCCATCAGCCCAGAGGAGGAGGCTTCCAGGAGGAAGAGGCAGCCGATGTTCAGAGCTGGCAGCCTCCTGGGCTGCCTGAAATGGGGGGCGGGGGCTCCGCTCTCCCCGAGGACCCGGAGGTTGCCCTGCAGGCCCCCAGGGCCACTCTCCCCTGAACACAAGGGCCTGCTCCGGTCTCTGAGCTTGTTTGAGGGTGGCCGGCCCTGAGGGTGGCTACCATTGTCCCAGACCCACTGACTAGCCGGCGGTGTCCGACCTTGTGGCATCTCTGGGCCACACAGGAAGAAGGGTTGTCTTGGGCCACACTTTAAATACATGGCAACACGTAATCACACACACACGAAATCTGATGATAAAATATCTTAAGTAAACTTTCGATTTTGTGCTGGGCCCCATGCACAGCCATCCTGTGCGGCACACAGCCCGCCGGCCACGGGCGGGACACCCCTGGGAGTTTGTCACTAGGGCTCTACAGATCACTGGACCCTTATACAGTGGGGAAACCGAGGCCGGGGCGGGCAGGACTTGGCCCCTCTACGCACAAGGGTTCTGTTCTCCCCCCTCCCTGAGCCCCAGCAGCCCTTCCCTCTGCCTGCTGCAGGGCCCAGTGTCTCAGCCTGTGGTTAGCTCCTGGGCGCCATGGGGGAGGCGGAGTCCGAGGGGACGGGGATGGGGAGGGGAGGGCAAGAGGAGCTATACGGAGACTCGGTGCCGGTGTGAGGGCAGTCCTCCCAGGAGGGGCAGTCCCAAGGCGGTGGTTGGATGCCATTTTGTGAGCCCCCGTCACTTTGGGGTATGTAATCGGGGGCCCAGCGTGAGTGTCACAGGAGACAGGCACCCTGTGAGGCCAGACCTGCTCCCACGGTCACTCCCAGCCACGGTGCCTCTCACTCAGCAGCCCAGCCCGGGCCCCCAAAGGCTTGCATCTGTCTGGGGAGTCGGAAGGCCAGGCCACCTTGAGGAAGAGCCACAGTCAGGGTTTCAGGCCGGGGAGGGGCTGTCCTTGCCATTCCTGCAGCGGGGAGAGCAGGAGGAAGCTGGGAGAGTGGGACTCGGGGGTGGTGGGGACTGGGTGGGCTCCCAGGAGCCTCTGCCCAGAACCAGCCCCCGGGTGCTGGGCCTGGCCTGGCGGGGAAGTGCCCTGGGGTGGGGGAGGACAGGGGTTCAGTGCAGGCAGTGGTGGTGGGGGGTGTCTGCAGGCAGGACCAGAGCGCCCCAGAAGGATGGGAGGCCCAGAAGTACTGGACCAGGGAAAAAGGGTCTGAAGCCGCACATTGTGGGGTAAATCTTTGGAGGAACTGCCTGGGCCTTAGACGCAGGGAGGCATCAAATTTCAGCCTCTGGAAGACACCGGGCCCCTTGATGGTCCAGCGCCTCTCAGCCCACCTTGATGCTGGCCAGGGAGACCTCACCCACCCGCCTCCACCCCCAGGCAGGCTCCACGAGTCCTGGGGGAATGCAGAACGCACAGGGGCCAATAGGGGGCGCCGGTGAACCCCGGCCGGAACCCTCCGCAGGGCTTAGGCCCCGGGGCGAGGCCTCCTGGTTGCTGCCCAGCCCCCCTCCGGCAGGTGGGGCTACAGAACGCCTCCGTCTGTCCCGAGCAGCCCTGTGCACCGGCCCAGGTCCCCGAGGCCACCTGGAGTCCAGCTCTGCTGAGATGCCTCGGGCCTTCCAGCCTGGAAGGGGACCTCCGGCCTGGCGGTCCCCATCCATGCGGCCGCAAAGTGTCTGGGCACCGCGGAGAGGCGTCGGAACACCCGGTCCGACTCCCCGTGTCCAGCGGCTCAAGGGTTAAAAGGCACAGGTCACCCCATGCTCTTGGGGGGAAAGGCCTCTCCCCCCAGTCCGTATGGCCACTTCCTTTCTCCCGGCTGGGCCCTGCGCCCCTTTTGTCTGAGCTGTCACTCACGAAGACGACGCACTTGACTTACAACGGGTCCAAAGAGGGCAGGGTATAATCAGTTGGTCCCCGGAGGGACGGGAGCGAAGGACACCCCACTGCTCGGCCACCCTCCCCACAGAGAAGGCGGCAGTGGGGCTCCGTCTGCGACGCTGATTTCTACACGAGGAAAACACCCTTGTATGTGGGAATTTCTCGGGAGAGAATTTCAGACACATCAGGGTGGGAAGTGGGGGCTGAGTTCCTAAACTTTTGGGGCAGGTCGGGGTTTGAAAACGAGACCACCGCAGAGGTTTGAATGGGCTTCGGGAGTCTCACAGAACTAGCCTGCCAGTTCACACAGTTCCTCTTCTCCCCAAAGTCCAGGAACCAGAGGGAGGGAGGGAGGGAGAGAGAGAGAGATCGTTCTCTGGGTTCTCAGGGCAGAGGCTGAGGGTGTGGGAAGCGGTCACCAGGTCAGGTGTCCACTCACAGCACATCTGGGGAGCGCGTCACCCACGGCAGGTGCGGAGGCGGGTGTCTCAGCCTCTGGGCCGCGCCTGTGCCGGCGGGGCCCCAGCAGGCTGCTCGGCCGCTGCCCCCTTCTCCGAGTTTTCCGCACCTTGTCCCACTCCTGGGCCAGAGCGGCTGTTTGCAATTGACGGGCCCCCTCCGCAGGAGGGGGTAGTGACGGGGGGGGGGTGGTGGTGGTGGTGGTGGTGGTGGTGGTGACAGGGGCGGTGTCTGCTTTTTCTGGCTCTTTGCTCTTTACCTATTGTCGTCCCTGCTTGCAAACCCGCCAGCCCTCTGCGGGGGGCCCAGGTGAGGCAGGCTGGCGGTCTTACCTGCATCAGTGTCTCAGGTGCTCCTGTGGCTCGGCGCTCCGAGTAATCAGTCTGTCTCCATCGCTCTTCACCACGCTCCGCACAGGCCTCTCCCCACCCCCGCCCCACCCCTCCCTGCCTTCTCTCTCTGTCGACTCTTTTGGATCCTGTCTCTCTCCCATGAACGTGCCCCAGTGATACAGGGGAGTCTTCTCTTTAAAACAAGCCCCTCATTGGTGTGTCTGGATGCTTCTTTTATTATTATTACTGAATCTTTCCCCCCCATAATGACACCAGGATCATTATATAATCCCATAACAAAGAGGCTTTTGAGACACCAGCTTTTGTCAACCCCAGGACACAGAATGCATAATTGCATTATTCAGCCTGCTTCCCCCTCACCACCGCTTCCCAGAAACCCAACCTCAGGCATCGCTCCCATCCCCACCCCGCTACCTTGCCTCATATTATTTACCCAAAGTGGCTGCCTTGGGGACCAGCATTGACAAAGTTGCCTTAAAAAAGTTATTTGGCTTTATAATTCAGTCCCGGAGCCCACCGCCTTCCGATTTTTCTGGACCCATCAGGCAGAGAACCTGCGTGACGTTTTTCTCGAAGTTTAATTACCGTATGCTAATTTCCTTGCCTACTACGTGATTAATTAAAATCATATTTTCATAATCATTTGGCACTGGCATTGTTTTAGAGTGATCGTGATCCCCTAAACAGTGTCTGCAAATAAAGTCGCCTCCACCGCAGGCGCGGGAGGCGAGGCTGAGACCTCTCCGTGTTTGTATCGCCGCGATTGGCAACAGAAGTGCCTTATTTACACTAAATACGCCACAAGGTTACCGCGCGGATCAACGTCATTTCATCGCTGATGACTCCCTTCAACGCCCAGGCTCGGGCTGGTTCTCCGCGTCCCGCTGTCCGCCGAGATTCACCCGGGAGTTCCCCCCCCCCCAGAAAAGAAACAGACTTTAAATAGTTTCGGGAGCAGGTAAGAATCACGCTTTTTTTGCTCTCCCTTCTCTGGCTCTGTCCCTGCGTGGCGGTCTCTCTCTCTCCCTCTCGGCTGGATAAAAAAATTCTTTAGTCAAAGGCAGGAATGCAAAGTAGTGACAAGCGAAGGGGCTGATATATGTCTCAGTAACGAGTCTGACAATCAGAATGTAGCTCTTGGAGAATAGATAGATTTTAATAAGTGTGTTTACATCAGCTCAAGGTCAGAAGCAAGCTGCGCCGTGTTAAATGGTTTCTTAGTTGCTAGACAGAGAGAAAAAATGGACGATCACACACCATTCTTTGTAGATTATTATATCAAGGGTTCAGTCTCTGGCTCATCAAAGCTAAATGCCGCAAGACCTATCTAGTTGCTGTGAATTATGCCAGGGCGACAATGGAGAGCGTTTTTAATGGTACAATGCATTTCACCTACCAGATAGGGGGAGGCCGAGCGGGGGACAGGGATGTCTGCGGGGCTGGGCGATGAGTATCAATGAGCGGGGCCACCCCGAGCAGAGGCGGATGAAAACGCAGCCCGCCCTGGCCCGGCCGGGCTGGGGACAGTGCGCGGGGCTCTGCCGGGCGGGCGGGAGAGGCGCGCTAGCAGGGCGCCGGTCCCCCCTCAGCCCCGGAAAATGATCAAGTCAATCATGTGGACATGTTTCATTATTCACTGAACACAATCTTTTACAACGCTCCGTTTACGTGCCCGAGTTTGCTCCCGACGCCCGCGTCTCGATGTTTAAGGTAAGGAAAACAAAGGTGGGGGGGGCCCGCGGAGCGAGGCGGCGCTGGGGTGGGGTAGGGGCGCGCGGGGCGCGCGGGGGTGGGGGCGGTGCCTGGAGGTGGCAAAGTGAGTTTGGACTCTTGGCGTGGCCCCCACCCCTCCCCCTCCCCATCTCGGCGAGGCCTGCGCCCGGTTCCTTCTGGCCCCATCTCGATTAAAAAATACGGTCTAATTAAATAGCCGTGGTGGTGACGTTGGCAAGACGAGCTGTCAGCAGGGGGGAAAGAGGAAGAAGCCGAGGAAGCGACCGCAGCCGGGCACCCAGGGCTCTGGCGAACTTCGGCGGCGAGTGGGACCCGCGCCTGGGCCACCGCCTCCCCCGCCCGCGGCCCCCGGACCGTTACTTTGAAAAGCAGTCGCAGGGCCTGGCGCCCAGCGCGCCGGTGGGACCCGGCGACCGGCCCCGCTGCGCCCCCGCCGGAGCACGGCCGCGCGCTCACGGCCCCGGGAAACTTTCGCTGGGGTCTGGGGGTCGCCCGAGGAGGGGGAAGCTGCGCAAACTTCTGCTCAAGTGACTTTCCCCATTTTCCCCGGTGCCGGAGACGCGGGCGCCCTCTCTCCCTCTCCCCCTTCCCGGCTCGCTACGGTATCCGGCCCCCGCCGCGGGTGTGTTGGGGGGGGGGAGGGAGAGGACAATTTGTAATCATTTTTTAAAAAAAGATCAAAGTTAACTGATGCGCACGCAGTGTGAAAGTTGCGGACGCCCGGGGCCCCGGAGACCTGCCATTTTGTGTGTGCACTGGCCTCCGGCGCCCCGGGCGCCCGGCGAGGCCCAGGCGGGGGCGCGGCAGGCCGGGATGCGGGGTCCGCGCAGCCACCGAGCGAGGCTGCGGCGCCGGCCAGCGCAGGCGGCGCCCGCAGCACGGACCCCCGCCCAGCTCCAGCCCTGGGGCCCAGCCAGGGGCCAAGGATAGGAATCAAGAAAGAAATAAGTAACAGGTTATGGAGGGAGCCGACAGCCTGGACTGCGAAATGAGGCCAATCAGTGAGGGGCGCGGGCGTGGGGGTCTGGAAGGCTGGGAGTGGAGGGTCCAGGGTGTCTGGGAAGAGCTCAGTTTGCGGGAACAGACCCCCCATCCCAGATGTATGACGGGGGGGGGGCAGAGATCTGCACTGATAAACCTTTCTGTTTGCGTCAAGACGTTATTATTATTATTTTTTGAAGACGTGGAATTGAGGAAAACAGCCGTGGGCGGGACCGGGATGTATTTTAGGCAAAACGGGGTGGGGGGGCAGATTTTCTTTGATGATGAGTAGGAAAGTGTCCAGATCTCCACGCGCCCATCTGTTGCAGTTTTGCAAATAATTTAAAATATAGATATCTCCATATAGATGGATGTTCGTGAAGCCAAAGGTGGAAACACAAGCGCCGCCAAGTTAGAAAAAAGAAAGGCAGAGGGTGCAGGGCGGGGAGAGAGCTGCCCCCCACCCCCAGCTCCTCGGAGTAAACTCCAGAAGGGCTCTCTTTGGGGACAGGTGGAAAGTTGTGCCCCCCCACCCCCCCTGCATCTCTGTGTTGTGAGCGTCCCCTCTCGTCCGCCTCTTGGGGAGCCTGGGCGCTCTCCTGTGGCCGAGGACCGCGGGGTGAGGGGCGAGCGGGCAGGTCGCAGCCCCGCGCGGAGGTCGCGGCGCGGCCGGGTTTTGTTTGCAGGATATTGTTGTGTCTGACGGATGCTCACAGGAGACGTGATTTGTCAGCTGCCTTCATTTTCACTTTAGCGAAAAACACGGCGGCTGCGCGGAGTCCTGGCTTGGGGGGCTCGGGCGCCTAGGGCGTGGGGTGCCGGAGGGGGCGCAGGGAGCGCGCTGGCGGCGGCGGGGCAGGGACGCCGGGCGGCCTGCCGCGAGGGGCGAGAGCGCGCGGGCGGCCTCGGGCTCCGGTGCCTTCTCGGGCCGCCGCCGCCGCCGCCGCCGTGCAGTTTAGCGGCAATCCGACAGGGGCCGCGTTTGCTGAGCGCATGGGGCCATCCGGCCGGGCAGCAGGAGCGGGCCGCCGGCGGTGAAGCTGCGGGGAGGGGGCCGGGGCAAGAGGGTTGGGGAGCTGCGGGAAGAGAGCGGGGCTGGAGCGCTCACCACCCCTGCCTTCTGCGTCCGCAGCGGGTCGGGCAGCCCCTGGAGCCCTGGCCTTGGCGCCCCCGTCTCCAGCCAGGGCTTAGGTGAACTTGGGGAGGGTGAGCGCGCACGCGCGTGCATGTCTGCGCGCGCGCGCGCGGTGCTGGTGGGTGGGGGGTGCTGTGAGGGCACTGTTTTCTTTCCAGTTTGATATGAGCTGCCGGGTCCGTACTTTGAGCCCGGCTTTGCTCGCGGCCGGGGTTGGGAGGGGGCGATCTTTTCCCATCACTCACATCTTTGTTCATTGTTCAGAGTGGAAGGCAGGCGACTTAAAGAGACGAAAGAGGAAAGGGGGGTGGGAAGACAGAGGAAAAACAGGGGGGCAAAAGAAGGAGGAAGTGAGGAAGAAGAGGGGGCAAAAGAGGGAGGAAGAGAGGCTGGGGGACGGCGCCCCCGCCCGCGGGGTCGGGGCGGACCGTGAGACCGTGGACCGCGCGGAAGGTCTCCGGGAACGTGGACATTACCGCTTTAATGAACTTCGCGATGCTCGGCGGCTGGACCTGGCGTAGCCGTGACGCGCCCCATAAATCTGCCGGCCCGGCTGCTCTCGAACTCGTGCGGTAGCCGCCTCGGACCCAGCGCGCGCCTCCCAGTCCAGCGGAGCCATTTGCATAATTGGATTTTTTTCCTTCTTCTTCCTCCCCGAAACTTGTTGGAAAACCGCGAGGACCTGCACGTTCGAAGGCGGGTGCCAAGTAAGTGCTCGGCCGCGGCCTCCGTGTGCCCCGGGGTCAGCGCGCGAAGCCCGCGGGCGAGGTGCGGGGAGAGGCGCGCGGCGTCCGGGTGGGCCTCGGCGGTCCGTTTCGTAGCTGGGGGACCGCAGCCTCGGGCTCCCGGCTCCGGGCTGGCAGCTCCCGCAACTTTTTTCCCCTCTGTCTGCTGACTTTCCGGGGCAGGTGAGGCGTTCGGGCCACGTGTACCTGCAGTGAGCTCTGGAGGCGACTCTTGGGCGCGGTGGAGTTGGGCATCTCGGTCCGGGTCCCGGGTGGGCGGTCGGTCCCACCGGCGCGGAGCGGGCAGAGCTGCGAGCGAGCGGCCGGCCGGCTGCTGCGGCTGGGCGCGGGGAGATGCGGCTCCTCGCCCGATCCTCCCCCATTATTCCGAGGTTTGTGTCTCTTGCTCTGTGTGTGTGTGTGTGTGTGTGTGTGTGTGGTCGCCTGTGCATGAAAAAGAAAGAAAAGCGACTCAAACGAGAGCAGGAAGGGCTTCTCCGCAGCTCGCCCGGTTCCCCCAGCATCTTCTGTTCCTGCTGCTTGTTTGCTCCAGACAGGGTTACGGAGAGACCCACGGTTCTGGTGGAAATGCCACAAATTCTATGGCCAAATTCTAGCTGCATTCAGAAAATGCCAACCCCTGCCTGTCCAGGAAAGTGGTTTTACAGCATCTCAAATATTATTAAAAATACATAATAATAATATTATTATTATTATTATCGGCAGTATCCAGAGCCTGGGCCGGGGGAGTCAATTTGCTGGGAGAAAATGATCTCCCCAGTCCCAGAGCTCTGGGAACTTGCTGCGGCAGGACCCCGGGCCCAGCCTGGCAGGGGCAGGGGCAGGGGCAGGGGACTCGGCGCCTGGCCCAGGGGGTGGAGGGGGTGTGTGTGGCTGCCCTGTGGCCTCTACTTGGGGAGCGCCCGGGGCTTCTGGCTGAAGGCTGCCTTAGTTATGATGTCATCCTGATCTCCGAGAGCAAATGTCTCCTGATTCCACCATTACCCGCCTGGCTGATCTGCTCGGTAACGACGGCGCTGCCGGCCCGGCTCTGACAAACGCAGGCCCCAGAGCTCTGGGGGCTCACTGTCCCCAGCTGAGGACCTCGGGGCTGCCAGGAGCCTCACCCCGGGGCCCCTGCCGGGGGGACCCTGTCGTGCTGCTGGCCAGACGTGACATGGAGGCAAGGCCCCTGGACTAAGGGACCCCTGTTGGCCCAAAGTTTGGAAAACTTTTAGAAGGCTTTGATTTCCAGAACACCTTTAATCTGGCAGAACCGGAGTGCAGCTGTGACGGGGCAGAGGCGGGGGACCTGGCGGGTGGCTGGGACCCTCTCTGGGGCCTTGTGTGGGAGAGCGGACCCTGACACCTGCCTGCTCTCTGCAGTCCCTCCCTGGGGCTTTATGTTAATATCACTGCACAGAAACCAGATTTAGTTGCGCATTTCTAAATAGTGTACAATGATTTAAGATTTCTTTTGATTTACTGTTCAAATGAAATTTGCATAAATGGGATGAAAACGAACTTAACATCTGGGCCTGTGAAAGAGGTTAGTACCTCATATGTCATCTGCAGAGAAAGCCTTTAAAATGCTTCCCCCCTAAACCGGGTTCGGGCAGACGGCTCCCGGAGACATCAGTGGTAATTACGGAGGACCCGGAGAAGGCGCGCTCAGCACATTCCCATTCTCCTGGACCGCCGCTCCGAGAACACACCTTGTTCTGCGCCCAGCGTGCCGAACTTCGGCAAGGGCTTCCGATCCCCACCCCTCAGCAAGTTCACTGCCGGCCAGGGCGCTGTTCACAGGAGACTTAGGGCAGGTGGGGAACCGTCTCAAGCTGCTCTGGTCCAAGCCGGAAGCCAGAAGGCCCACGAGAGAGGGCAGGGGCGTGGCCAGGACATGCACCCCACTAGCCTCTGTAGCCCACAGCTGCTGAAAGGCGGTGCCGAGATGCACAGTCGCTGCCTGCTGAGCCCCCCAATGCTGACCGACTTGGCGGCCTGCTCTGCCCGAGGAACCCAAAGACGTCTCCGTGAGCTCAGACCGCCAAAACCCAGCAGCCCATTCAAAGGAACTCCAAGCCCTTTTGAGCAAGACAAGCTGATCTCCGGCATAAGGAAGTCAGCTGTCCCCA